TGTCTTAACAATGTCTTATTCTTTTCTCATATTTTTTATTCTTTCATATATTTAGTGATTTAAACATGCTGTCTAATCGCTGTTAGTTCTATTATTTGAAAATTTGTAGGACTTCTGTTGCAATTGTATTCTGACTCTCATCAATGGTAGATTTTTTGTAATCTAGATTATAAACTCATCTTCAGGGGACTTTACCATATTGTGAGGTCTGAATTGAGATGTATCCTACAGAAAGGTTTTGTCTTTGTTTCTGCCAGGCTTCCTAGAAAGTGTTAACAGCCAGAGATCATGTTAACATATAATTTCTGCCTTGAGAATTCCAGTATCATGGAGGAAGCATAAATTCAAACCCCTAAACATCTTCAAGGCAAGCTGTGGTCACTAATTCTCAAGAAAAATCTTTTTTCTCCTCTCTAGAGTCCAGACCCAAACCAACAAATCTCCACGTCTTATTTTACACTCTATACTTTCTCCCTAGACAATATATTCTGAAACCAAAGCTTCAGTTATCTCTATGTCAGTGACTCCCGGGTTTTATATCTTCATCCAGGATTCTCTCCTCTGAGTTCCACACCATAATATGCAACTGCTTACTTGAATATCAAAGGCACTGCCTCAAACCCAACCAGCCTAAGATCAATAAAATTCAAGACTTTCCCCTCAAAACTAGTCCTCTTCTAGTGTGTTCTATCGGAGTAAATGGCATACGCTTGTGCATGCCAGAAATCCAGGAGCTGTCTTTGACGTCCCTATTCTCATTCTCCCGTCCAACCCATCGTCAACCTCTGTCAACTTTACTTCTTAAATATCTATTAAATCTACCCACTGCTTCCATCTCTACTGTTTTCAGGCTAGTTCAAGCTACTATCATCTCTAGCCTGGACTGCTGCAGTTTCCCACATTCACTGTGAATCTACTCCAACACATTCTCCACGCTAAGACCTGAGTGAACTTATCCAAATACTGTACACGATGGATCATTTCTCTTTTCTGCTTGAAACCCTCATTCTCTGGTTCCACATTTGTGGCTCTTACATCCTCACTGTGGTCTGCTTGTCCTGCATGGCCTGCTGCTGCCCACCTCTTGGACCCATCCTCTTCCATGCTCCTCTCCTCACCCTCCCTTTCTGTGCTCCAACCACAATGCCTCTAATTCTCTTACTTGAAGCTACAACGCTCCATATGCCCACACAACTTTGGTACATGTTGTTTCCTTTATTTGGAATGCCAGTCGTCCCCATATCCCCAATCTTGTCTAGTCGATACCTAACTCATCCTTCACTTCTTTGTTCAAACATCATTTCCTCAGTTCTCATCTCTTTCTTTCAAAGCCTTTCTGTTAGTTTATAACCATACATTCATTACTGTGGGGTTTGTGCTTAAGTTCTGATTCCCCTCCTAGGTTACAAGTGTGAGATCTGGGACCTCATCTAATTTTGCTCATTACTGTACCCTGAGCACTAACATAGCCTAGACCACAGAAAGTGCTTAATAAATACTTCTTGAATGAATAAATGATCATTAAAAATATAACTAAAAATATACACCTATTCAAAATAATCCAGAGGGAGGGAATAAGTAGATAGAATTATGGATAAAACAAGTGAAAGCCAGAAGAAGAATCTATTATATTATTCTCTCTACTTTTCCATATGTCTGAAATTTTCCATAAAAAAGATTATACAACTTGTTAAAAAAAAATCAGAATACTTTATTTGAGTCTGGGTAAGCGATGAACTTAATCTTAAAAATAAAATAATGTCCGTTTAGGATCAGACTGAAATATTTTATTTAACTAAAAAGAAATTATACTGACCTGAAGATATTTCGGTAATGGTTTATTGGACCACTTAATGCTCCAGGCTGAGAAAAGACATAAATATAAGCTTCAAGGTCTTCTGTTGTTAATTGACATCCTTTTCTTCCAATGCCAGTACTGTGACTGGTAAACAGATGTTTCAAAGCCTAATTTAAGTAAAAAGAGAATAATTAAAACTTTTTAGTTATCCAATAATACACTAAATCTTGGGCTTTTGAAAGGGGATTGTGGTCAGTGTGCAATGATAGCTTCTAATTTCTGCTCTGGCCAGGTTCGACACCTCATTCTTTACAAACACATTTTATGCATTTCTGGTTTTCTGGCTTTACTTCTGATCTTCTTCCCTTCTCATCCTCTATGCACATTTTACCCTTATGAAAAGCATCCTGTCTTCTTGGTGCCTATTCATATTCTACAAGGCCCAGCTCAAGTGCTACCCCTAATATTCCAAGTATTGTTTACTGACAACCAATCTCCTCCCCACAAAGTTCTTTAAACTTTTATGACCACAACCTAGAGTAACAAATACATTTTACATCATGATCCAGTTCACACCAGTTTCATATGCATATGTGAAATAAATTATGCTTAGAACATGGTGCTCATAACACCAAGGTCCAGGGCTCAATCCCTGTATTGCCCAGCCACCAAATAATAAATAAATAAAATAAAACAAAATAAAGGTAATGTGAATCTTTCCATGAACTTTTTGAACACCCCTCATGTGTGTGTGTATATATAAAATAAAAATTTAAAGAAACAGCCCTTACTCATTATAATATGCACTAATATTTTCAGTTCAATTCTNACTGTTTTCAGGCTAGTTCAAGCTACTATCATCTCTAGCCTGGACTGCTGCAGTTTCCCACATTCACTGTGAATCTACTCCAACACATTCTCCACGCTAAGACCTGAGTGAACTTATCCAAATACTGTACACGATGGATCATTTCTCTTTTCTGCTTGAAACCCTCATTCTCTGGTTCCACATTTGTGGCTCTTACATCCTCACTGTGGTCTGCTTGTCCTGCATGGCCTGCTGCTGCCCACCTCTTGGACCCATCCTCTTCCATGCTCCTCTCCTCACCCTCCCTTTCTGTGCTCCAACCACAATGCCTCTAATTCTCTTACTTGAAGCTACAACGCTCCATATGCCCACACAACTTTGGTACATGTTGTTTCCTTTATTTGGAATGCCAGTCGTCCCCATATCCCCAATCTTGTCTAGTCGATACCTAACTCATCCTTCACTTCTTTGTTCAAACATCATTTCCTCAGTTCTCATCTCTTTCTTTCAAAGCCTTTCTGTTAGTTTATAACCATACATTCATTACTGTGGGGTTTGTGCTTAAGTTCTGATTCCCCTCCTAGGTTACAAGTGTGAGATCTGGGACCTCATCTAATTTTGCTCATTACTGTACCCTGAGCACTAACATAGCCTAGACCACAGAAAGTGCTTAATAAATACTTCTTGAATGAATAAATGATCATTAAAAATATAACTAAAAATATACACCTATTCAAAATAATCCAGAGGGAGGGAATAAGTAGATAGAATTATGGATAAAACAAGTGAAAGCCAGAAGAAGAATCTATTATATTATTCTCTCTACTTTTCCATATGTCTGAAATTTTCCATAAAAAAGATTATACAACTTGTTAAAAAAAAATCAGAATACTTTATTTGAGTCTGGGTAAGCGATGAACTTAATCTTAAAAATAAAATAACTCTACTTTTCCATATGTCTGAAATTTTCCATAAAAAAGATTATACAACTTGTTAAAAAAAATCAGAATACTTTATTTGAGTTGGGGTAAGCGATGAACTTAATCTTAAAAATAAAATATTGTCCGTTTAGGATCAGACTGAAATATTTTATTTAACTAAAAAGAAATTATACTGACCTGAAGATATTTCGGTAATGGTTTATTGGACCACTTAATGCTCCAGGCTGAGAAAAGACATAAATATAAGCTTCAAGGTCTTCTGTTGTTAATTGACATCCTTTTCTTCCAATGCCAGTACTGTGACTGGTAAACAGATGTTTCAAAGCCTAATTTAAGTAAAAAGAGAATAATTAAAACTTTTTAGTTATCCAATAATACACTAAATCTTGGGCTTTTGAAAGGGGATTGTGGTCAGTGTGCAATGATAGCTTCTAATTTCTGCTCTGGCCAGGTTCGACACCTCATTCTTTACAAACACATTTTATGCATTTCTGGTTTTCTGGCTTTACTTCTGATCTTCTTCCCTTCTCATCCTCTATGCACATTTTACCCTTATGAAAAGCATCCTGTCTTCTTGGTGCCTATTCATATTCTACAAGGCCCAGCTCAAGTGCTACCCCTAATATTCCAAGTATTGTTTACTGACAACCAATCTCCTCCCCACAAAGTTCTTTAAACTTTTATGACCACAACCTAGAGTAACAAATACATTTTACATCATGATCCAGTTCACACCAGTTTCATATGCATATGTGAAATAAATTATGCTTAGAACATGGTGCTCATAACACCAAGGTCCAGGGCTCAATCCCTGTATTGCCCAGCCACCAAATAATAAATAAATAAAATAAAACAAAATAAAGGTAATGTGAATCTTTCCATGAACTTTTTGAACACCCCTCATGTGTGTGTATATATAAAACAAAAATTTAAAGAAACAGCCCTTACTCATTATAATATGCACTAATATTTTCAGTTCAATTCTATTATACTTAATTTTTAAAAATTTTAATTGCAAGCCACTAAATGACTCATTAATGGGTTCACCCACAATTTGAAAAACACTGCTCTATACCAGCATTTCTCAAAGTACAGATCCAAACCACCTACACCAGAATCACTAGGATGCCTGTTAAAATACAAATCCCTCAACCCAAAAACACACTTGCAAAAATATGAAATAACATATGTATGAGGTAGTTAACTGCCACATTATTTGCAATAGAAAAAGACTGGAAACAATCAAATATTCATCAGTGGGGAACTGGTTGCACCAACTATGGTATCTCCACACAATGGTGTACTATGTGTTCTTAGTACTCCAAGAAAAGGTGAAGACAATCTCTATATGTTGATATGGAGTGATCTCTAGGATATACTGTTAAGTTAAAAAAAAAAAAAAAAGAAAAAGAAACAATGGAAAGATGAACCCAAACTAATTAAACTGGTTTCCTATGGGAGAGGGAGAAAACAAAGTGGAGGGGACAGAGAGGCCAGCAAGATTTGTTGAATGTACCTTGTTTTAGAGTTTTGACTGGAACCATATAAATGTTTTACATAAAATCGTGGAAGTTAAGTAAAACCCAGTAGTCTTAAATTTGCTATGGAAATATAAGTAAGCATTTGTGATTTATTAATTTCTTCTTTCTAAAAAATATGTATGTCCAAATTCTGTCTGATGGAAATATCTAGAAGCAATAAAAAGCCCAGTAATAATAATCACCTTGACACCCAGATTGCTGTCTCTAAAAACCATTGCCTACTGAAAAGAACTAAAGTTTCTCAGATAAATGATTGATTCCAGATCTGTGGCAGGAAATAAATGATAAACTTAGGACATTAAGGAAGCAAGCTGTCATTGACTAAGAGACCATGTCAAAAAGACATAGGAGCCAATAAGAAGGGGTTCCTACTTGCCGAATATGGGACAATTTGGGCATCAAAAAAAATAATGACAGTAATTGATTGGTATATATCAAATATACACTCATTACTCTGAACGTTATTTAATAAGGATAAAGAATGAAGTATTTATCTTGCCATTCTTGTGTGAACTGTATGTCAGAATAACCAAACAGTAGATGTGGATAAAATTCTTCCTTATAGAAGAATACCAGTTGTTAAAAGCAGAAAGAGTGATAGAATTAGAAAAATCACCATTTTGTACACCCTAATGAAATAGATCTAGGCTATGGTCAACAATATATGTTAAGTTAATTTGGCGAAAAGTTGTTAGGAAATTTTGGACAGGTTGACAACTTATGAGCCCACTGATCAATGTTAGCATTACTAAAACAGAACAACTTGACATTGTGTGCTTCCCTGACATGATGTGTTAGAAAATACACAGCACTATCAAGTATTTTTGTTAAATTAAAACTCACTCTAATCAAACCTCTCAGTCAGTAGCACCTATGAAGCAGGAAAAACCAGAGTTAGAGGAACAAGTTAAATACCACCACGATGAAACAATCAGCCAACTCCAAAATGTGGATCTTTCCTCAAGACAAATGACCAAATTAAAAAAAAAAAAAAGTGGTATTTAAAAAAAAGGAAGAAGGAGCCATTATAAATTTTAGAAGCCATAACAACCAAATATAATGTGTAGACCTTGTTTGGTTCCTGATTCAAGCAAATAAAGTGTATAAAAATGGTCGAGACAGTTGAGGAAATTTGAATGGGTATTACATGGTATTAAGGAGTTGTCATTCATTTTGTTAGGTTTGATAGTGGCATTGGGGTTATGTTAAAAAAAAAAGTCCTTATCTGTCAGAGATACATGCAGAATTATTACGAGGTAAAATGAGGTTATGTATTTTTTTAACCTCCCCCAATGTTTAACATGTGGGATATAAAAGAAATATTTAATAAATGCTCAAGATACTTGCTTATGACTCTTGGTGTCATCGTATATGGTACACCAATACGTTCATGCTTACTTAGTTTAGGGGTTTTGTTTACCCCCAAGAGCTTCCACTTTCGCTGCTGTCAAACTCTCTCACCTGGCATTCATATTCCCTCATGTCCCCAAGAGATGTTCTCTAAAAAGAGGTATGCCTGTGGGGGCACAGGCTCTCACAAAAAAATTGGACACAGCCAGGCATTCAAATATATAAGCAGAAACTATAAAAATCAGTAAGCCTATAGGTAAGTCCTTAAAACCAGTTATTAAGTTTCAACATTTTTCTTTCCATTTTCATTTTTCTATTCTTTTGATTTTTGTTTTCATTTTTCTTTCTCAAAGATGGACTTTAATTAAAAATATTTGGCATTAATAATAATACATTATTTGTTTGACTCACCTTGAAATCATTTATTGAGAACATGAATTCTGGGAACCATGGTATTTGGAAGAAGTAGTAATAGCTGGATTTGAACAGCTGAGCAGGATGTCGTAAAATATATTCTGAAATTGAAATGCTGTGTTAGTCTTTATCCAAGGAGTATAAATTACTTACTATGGGAAGCACTTTTAAGAGCAATTTCACCTTTAAGATGATCCCATAAAAGAATCCATAAGTAAGACTTCTGTATATTTTTCTTTGGAACGCTTTCTATGTTCTTATATTTTATTATGGGTATTTATAGTATTTAGAAGACTTACACTATTTTAAATAAAAAGAAAGTTCTATTTTACGAAGTCTTAACTCAGAAGGGAACGGAAAGCCCAAACAACATTGCTTTTCCTCCAAGGTCATTATCAGTGACCTACCACTTTTCTTAACAATACGTGGTTATGTAATTTCCTGTTGTTTAAAAGATTTTCCTTATAGGCTGATCCAAATTGAACACCTTATTATTATTATTATTATTATTATTATTATTTTGGCAGTGCAGTTTACTACAGCCTTTTGCTCTTGATCTGACTTTAGAAATTTATAACGTCAAAATGATATTTTACCAAAGAAGACTAAATTTTTGATATTGCTCCCCACTCTGTTATACACATGGTGACAACCCATATTTTATTTACAACTTAAACAATTAGTAAACCCAATGGGATCTATATTATTGTCCACAGTATGTAAAATATGCAAATCAACTTTGAACACTTTATTCATTTTGCCTCAAAAGGAACTGAAGTTTTTCCCATAAATTCATTCATGTATCTCGAACATTCATTCATTCAGTATTGGAGTATCTACTGTGTGCCAGGAAATTTAGCAGTAAACAAGACAGAAAAGGTACCAATGAATAAGGAACTTACACAGTGAGTAAAAAATACTTAAAAGATCACTTTAGAGAGCAATAATGCCATAAAGAAAAGAAAACAAGGTAATCTTACTGAGAGTATAGAGATGGTCAGAGAAGTCCTCTCTTGAGAGATGATATGTAGGCTGAGTCCTGAGTGGTCAGCCATGCAAAGATCTAGAAAGACCATCCACAAACAGCCAGGAGGTCCTGGGCTTGGCCCATTCATGAAAGAGAAAGGCCAGTGTGGCTGATGTGTAGCGAATGAGGGGGGAGATGGTATGATATAAGTTAGGAAGAAAAGCAAGAATCTGATCATGTAGGACCAGAATGGTAAGGATTTTATTTTAAGTGCTGTGGGAAGACACTGAAATCTTAAACTGGGGAGTAACATGATCATATATATTAAAAGTATATACTTGTTGTGTGTAGTGGGTTGAATTATGTCCCCCCAAACTCATTGAAGCTTGAATTGTGTTCCCCAAGTTTCATGTATTAGAAACTTAACTGTGACTGTTAGGAGGGTGGGAAATCCTATTATAGTAATTGAAAGGTGGAACCTTGAAGAGGTGACTGGATTGTAGGACCATGCAGTAGTGAATGGATTAAAAATGGTGGTC